AACATCAATGCATTGTAGTTTCCTCAGGAAGTCGGTGGTGTCTCGAAGATAGCTGGGAGTGCTGGTAGCATAGGGTCAGTTTATGTAGTCAGTTTTCCAGTGCTGGTGCTTAAATGTAAGTACCAGAATCTGTAGGCACCAAAGTACAGCAAATTGGTTCCAGAGGTGCTTAGCACCGGCTCCTCCCTGATCAGTCAGTCAGAGTCACCCTCTTCAGTGGGTGAGCCACTACAGAGGGAAAATGCTCCTCAGTGTGCTCATGGGGTGACAGTTGCTACACATCTCTGACAGCCAGTCCAAGAATCCAAATCTATTAAATCTGTGGTTCTCAAGCTTTTCCATTCCAATTCCCCTCCCTTCTAGCAAGGATCTAACTGGGACCTCCCTCCCATTCAGCAATGTCAGTAGGTAGGTTTGGTCATTGTGACTTCCTAGCAGCCCCTTGTTGAGAACTCCTGCACTCTGAGAATCTCTGCAGAGTACCCCCTGCAACCCACATCCTTCCCATCCCAGAACCTCTAGGTCCCAAGAGGACTCTATGGACCTCTGGAAGACTGCACCATCTGGGCTGCATGTAGATGAATGCAGACTGTGACTAGCAAGGGACTCTTTTGGTGAGCAGACCACTCCTCTTCTCTCACAAGAACCCCATGGTTGCAGCTCCCCACTGCTGGAGTTCCTAGGGTCAGCTGAAGCAGGGTTTCCCTGCAGAAGAACTGAGAACACAGTGTTGAATTTAGAAAACTAAAGAAATTTCCAAATTCAGTGTCTTTGTGAAGGTGGAGTTAACATTGATTTAATATCAGTAAATTTTTGGTTTTTTTCCTGGTAGATTTTAAGAACATAAAATGGAAGAGCAGAACCTCACCGCCCCAGTGACAGAATTTGTTCTCTTGGGCCTCACCCAGAATCCTGAGTTGCAGCGCTTCCTTTTTGTGGTTTTCCTCATAGTTTACGTGAACACCTGGCTGGGAATTTTCATCATCATCACCGTGATCATCAACCACCGACTCCATACTCCCATGTACTTCCTGAACTTGGTTTTCCTGGATGTCAGTGAATCATCAGGAAATGCTCCAAATATGCAGGTCGACTTTCCCAGTGGAAAACCATCTTGTTCAGTGACTGCATCCTCCAGATGTTCTTCTACCACTTAATTTGTTTTGTGGGAATGGCGATCTATCGGTATGTGGTCATCTATAAACCACTGCGGTACTTGAGTATGATGAACCAGGATGTGTGAATGGGGCTAGTGGCGCTGGCATGGCTGGGTGGATTGGCTCACTCTGCTGTTCAGCTTTGACTGCTCCTCCAGCTACCGTTCTGTGGTCCAAATGTCCTGGACAATTTCTACTGTGATATCCCACATGTAATCAAAATGGCCTGCACTGACACCCACATGATAGAACTGCAGATGGTCTTCAATGGTGGAGTGCTGCTCATAATAGTATTAATTGTTTTGCTTATTTCCTACACCATGATCTTAGTGAAGATCAGGACACACATCACAGAAGGGAAATGCAAGGCTCTGTCCAAATGAGGAGCCCAGATTTCCATGGTATGTTTACACTTCATACCGACCATCTTCATCTATGCTGAGTGATTTTTAAGTGTCTAAAAGCCAAAGTCCATTGTGAATCTAGCCCTAAGATCCATAACTCTTTAAAATCAGCTTCCCTCACACAGATCGAGGTGTAGCAAAACCTAATGTGTCATAGGGGTCATCTACATTGCCTTTCCTCCAAGCTGTCTGCATAAATACTGATACCACACCTGTCATGATTGTACTTGAGCACCTCACGATCCTTAAAGCATTTAACCTCCCCACACTCCTGCAAAGTAGGGAAACTATGTTACCCTATTTCAGGGACGGGGACCAAAGCAGGGAGGCTGGGATATTCAAAGGATCCAGGGGGGTTCAGTCATCAAACTCTCAGTGAAGTTCTATGGGAATTGGTCACCTATCTTCCTCTCTCTTGAAAATTCCAGAATGCGGGGTGTGGGGGATGAGTTACTTATGGTCACAGAGGACATCCACAGCAGGGCAGTAATGAAATCCATCTCCCCACAGCCTCACCTTTTTCTTCTGTCAAAAGTTATCACAGAAGAAAAATCTGAGTCTGCCGGGACATGGATTTCATTTCTGCCCTGCTCACTGTCAAAAAAGAGGTTTTGATGGAATCAAAACATTTGATGGGAAAATGGCTTTTTTGATGAAAATTTGTAATGCTGCATGAGAAAATTTCAAACTAAAATGAAATTTTTAATTTCTTTTGGGTATTTGCAATGTTGTAGCCATGTTGGTCCCAGGATATGAGAAAGACAAGTAATATCTTTTATTGGACTAACTTCTGTTGGTGAAGGAAAGAAACTCTATGTGGCTCAAAAGCTTGTCTCTTTTACCAACATAAAGTGGTCCAATAACAGATATTAGCTCACCTGCCTTTTCTAGCTTCTTTCATTTGGATTTATATCTTAAACTTCATAGCCAGGAGTTCACATTTGTTACTGGCTTGGTGAAATCTAATAATAGAGCATACCACCAGTATGGGGTGTCCGCTCTGTTTTTGACAGCCTGCCCTGAGGCAGGCACTTATGGTTGTGAGCCACGGTGACATATCCATATAAGTGAAAAAACCCCAATCACTGTAAATCAGACTGTCTCCCTGAGTGTAAATGGGCCAGTTCCCCAGCTGGCAGAAGTGGTTGCATCTTACTACAGGGCTTCCATCAGTTGGGGCTTTGGCACTGAGAATGGCTAGTCAACATTATCCCAAGAATGATTTCAACTAATGAGGATAAAAAATGCAATTATAAATAGAGGTTGCAAAGATTGTTTTCTAAACTGGCTTTTTTATTGATAATAGATAAATAACATCTTCTAAAAAATCCCTTAGCACATTTTACAGATCTTAAATTTCAAGAAAAATAAACAGCAGTACTTGTGGCACCTTAGAGACTAACAAATTTATTAGAGCATAAGCTTTCGTGGGCTACAGCCCACTTCTTCGGATGCATATAGAGTGGAACATATATTGAGGAGATATATATACACACATACAGAGAGCATGAACAAGTGGGAGTTGTCTTACCACTCTAAGAGGCCAATTAAGTAAGAGAAAAAAACTTTTGAAGTGATTTTTTTCTGAAAGAAAAATAAAAAAACATGTAACTATCCTAAATAGATTTAGATTTTGTTTTTTTCAGACTTACTCCTTTTTTCTCCCTAAGAAAAAACATTAGAGAAAAAGAAAAAACATTTATGAAATTTTACTACAAGAGAAAAAAAGTTCCTTTCAAAAATTTGAAAATAGAAATATTTTTGTAAATATTCAAAAATATTGTGATTCTTTTTTCTTTCCCAACAAGTTCTATATTTCCAAAGTTTAAGTACTAATGAGGCTCTTCTACACTGACAAATATTTTTTTAAAAAACGGGTACTTCTTCCTGAACAGATCTATACTCCCTGTGCATCAGAATTGGATTTTCAGATCCAAAAATAAACTACAACTCTCTATAGTCCTGTAAGATCTCCTGAACCAACACTACTTTGACAGAAGAGTGAAAAATCGTTCTGACAGTATTTTTTTTAATAATATTCTCATTGAATTTCAGATCAGTTACACCTATATATAATGAATGAAGTCAACGGGAATATAATAATAAAAGGAATGGTATTCAGCAGAGGTGAGAGGGGACAGAGAGTGAAGGGGAGGGGCTGCACTGGGGTCAGCGAGGGCAGGATATGAAGGGTACATGACTGCACAGGGGTCACTGAAGGCAGAGTCTGAAAGGCACGTGGTTGTAGGGGGTCACCGAGGACAGAGGTTGAAAAGTAAGAGGATGCCCAGGGTTTAAGATGGGCAGAGAGCTATAAGGATGCCTCACTCTCTTTCCCTTACCCAATAACTATCCAGTGTCATCATGAAAGACTGTGAATTGCCACTATGAATTGAAAAGTATAGTCTTCGGCCTGGGTGATAGTGAGTATTGTTCTACTGCGTGCCTGCCAGGGGGTCACCTGAGATGTCGGAGACCCAAGCTCAAGTTCCTTCTCTATTGACTGTTTAATTATTTATAAAAAAAAGTTGAACATCGTCAAGAGGAGAGACTGAGAAGAACTCAACCCAGATTATCCCATAGTCCAATGTCAGAGATGTTTTCCTGTAACGGGGGAGACCAACATTCAATTTCTTTATCCTCATCAGATGGCAGCTGCGGTGAATGAATCTAGGTTTCTTACATCTTTGGTGAATGCCCTGACCACTGGGTAAGGCTCATGAGGGAGCACCCTACCACTACCATCATGGAGTTCACCTTCTGAGGCTTTGGAAATCTTTACTTGGCTTTTTGAAAACTGCCTGAAAGTCTAAACAATTTTTTTTCAGGATGATACAGAATGAAACACTTTGAATTGACATTACCAATGCATTCGCTCATTTCAAGGTCAAAATTTCTTTGACGTTTTAATCACTAAAAATTGTTTTAAAAATGTTATTTTCAATTTGACCTGAAACTAAACATTAGTTTCAATTTTTTTTTAAATAGCAAGTGAACAAAAAAAAGTCCATTATTCAGCCAACTCTACCCATAATGACTTGGCCAGTCAGAACCTAACAGATTAGATCTCTATTCTATTCTATTCTATTCTATTCTATTCTATTCTAAGCACTAAAAAAGATCCCATCCCTGTTGTTGCTGAAGTGCCTGATAAAATTAGGAAAAAGGATGTTCTAAATGAGATGTTATATGTCGTTGATACATTAAGTCCCCAGGTGCCTGCTGAGTGTCAGTGTTGAACTTTCAGGTCTCTAATTGTATATTGGCTGCTGACTCCTAAAGCAAACCAACTTTGATCTTTTAATCATATCTCACCAAAAAGTTAAAGTCTTTCAGTAGAGTTCATGGACAATATATGTCAAAGATGCGCATGAGGGATCCAAAAATACAATTATCCCGTTTTAATCATTGTGTTTGCTCCCCACCTAGAATTGACATGGAACCAAGAAGCCCTGAATATTTCTCCCCTGCTCTAACTCCTGGCTTAGCTCTTCCATCTCAGTGCTAGAACCAAAATCCAGCAGTCATGGGATTTCATCTGCTTTGGAGACGAGTCAAATGTCCAGTTCTTCCTCTCTTTCCCAAGTAGCCTCCACCCGGGGCTCCGGCCGCAGTATCGGGTGCGGGGGTTTCGCTGCTCTCAGCCCGGGGCTCCGGCTAGGGGAACGGGTCCGGGAGTCTGGCCGCGCTCCGGTCGGCACTGCAACCGGGGAAGTGGGGTCCGGTGCTCCGGCCAGGAGAGCGGGGCTGCGGAGCTGGCCGAGACGGGACTTCGGCCGGGAGAGCGGGTCCGGCGGCTGGCCGCGCTCCTGCCGATGCTCCATGGCTCCATGGCTCATTGCATTAGGGCCAACATTTCCACAAGTGACCAGAGATTTGGGGTATCTCCATTTTTTGGTACCCAACTTGAGACAAGCTTGATTTTAGCAGTTCATAATGTGATCTCAGATCCCTTCCTCTCTTATGGGAAAAAAAAAAAACCTTGGGAAATGACACAGTTACAAGAGTTTTCTCCAGAGCTTTTTGCCAGGAAGACAGGCTTCCCCAATCTCCATCCCTGTCCCCATGGGAGGATAGGGGGTTTGGCCTCTGAACTCAGGAGCTTTGCTGAAAGCGCATCCATGAATAGATTCAGGCTGCCTCAAGTTGAGCACCCAAAACTAACAATGTCTTTGGAAACTTCATGCCCAAATTCCTGGGAAGACCCTTATATACAGAAACCAAGACTCAGGAGCGAGGTATATAAATACTGAGCTTTATTGACTGCATCTGTGGCCCCACAACAGTGACTAGACTCCTTGGCTGAGACTTTCACTATTGCCCTAGGGATTCCAGTCCACGGTTTCCATGAATTTTAAAGGGGCTTGAGTAAACCAATCCAATAGGTGGCTTGAAAAACCTTAGCCCACCCAAAGTTAAAATATGTCCTGATTTTACCAGGATAGTCCCAGTTTCTCATACATTGTCCCAGTATCATCCCAGTTTGTCTTC